GAGGAGGAAGCGCGTCACGTTGCTCGCGTCGTCTTCAATGTTGGCGTCGAGGACGTCGAGGCCGTAGTGGTGGGCGGCGAGGTCGCTCGCAATCGCCGCCGTGTCGGCCCACTCAGCGCCGTGCTACGAGAGCACCTTGGCCGAGCCCGCGGTGTCGTACTCGGCGCGCACAGCTGCAACCAGACCGCCAAAGAGGAGCGTTGGCCGCAGCGGCAAGGGCGGCGACGGCTTCTGGGGCGACGGGGCACCGTACCGTCGAAAAAGCGGCGTGCAGAGGGTAGATCACGTTGCTCCACGCTGGCGAGCGACCAGACCGCAAAGCCTGTGCCGCGGTGGCGAGGTGCCACGTCGAGCATCGCCCTGGCGTCGTAGAAGCCGACGCCGTCACGTTCGTGACCATCGCCGCAGCGGACGTCGTCGTGCTGTGGTATACGCATGGTCTCTCTTGCGCCAAATAGGCGGACCACGCACCGCAGCGAGGTCCGGCAACCAGAGACGTCCTGGCAAAGCTCCATGGCCAAGGACCTCCAGACGTCGCAACGTGATCTGCGACCCACCTGCTGCTGCCACGTTCAAAGATTTGTCGGGAGCAACTAAGATGGGCCAATCAAATGGCAGGTTGGTGCTATTGTATATGTATAGTTTTGTATGTGACTCTGATTTTGGCAATATAATTCAGAAACCATCGCTCGCACTCGGTACTCCTCCCATCTCTTGCTTCTTGACGCATGCGTGCAGGCCTGAAAACGATACCGGTATCCTCGTCGGCGCCGTGTTGCTGCCGCTCGTGGGTTGCAGTCGGCTCCTCGTCGTCGAGACGTCGACACTCGACGGTACCTACATATGTAGTCGCGTGCTTCATCTGACTCGAGTGCGTGTAGCGTATGCACTTGCATTGCTCGTCTGCGTCATGGCGCTGTCTCTCTCGACGCTCGTGCGCCTCGGAGCCCACGCGCCATGGTCGCTGTCGCCCACAGCACTCTACGAGCCGTTGCTTGTACAGAGTCTGTCCCGCTTTCTACCTTCCGACTACCTACACGGTATGGTATAGCATTGCCCTGCGATATGGCGCGAGTTTTTCTCTGTGGTTGGCGTAGGCACGTCTCTGTGGCCGCTCCACGCGGCCTTGGCCGTCTACAACCTTCTTTTGCGCTACGGCCTCGCCGCGCTTCCCAGATCCTTAACGTTTGGCGAAGCCATGGTGCTTTCGCAGGGCATGTCCCTTGTCGTTGTCGACAGTGTTTTCTACACTCTGCAGTCGGTATGAATCGCACCCTCGACGACGCATCTGGCTACGGTTGCTTGTAGATGGCACTCTTTGACGCCGGGATTCCGACCCTTCAGGCAACGACAATTGTCATTCAGCTCGTGCTCGTCTTGGGCGTTGCGCTTGGCGTCCTCTGCACGCCGCTCTTTCGATGGTACGGCGCGCCGTCGTCATGGCTCATGTGTATGCTCATGAGTGTTTGCGCAGACCACGAAGATCCTGATCGAGATCAAGAAACGCGAAAATCGTAGCGTTTGGGCCGTGACGCGCGAGGTGCGATGCTTGACGATACCGTGCGCCGTCGTCTCATGGGTCTGTGGTAGGAGCGTCCCGCCTCGGACGATCACGCGTACGTTTGTATTGCATTTGAGGCCATTGGATCTATTGCTGGACTAGGTACAACATGTGCGCCCGACAAGATGCACAAATCTTTTGTGCACTTGCGGTGCAAACACACATTCCACCGCGAATGCGTTGCGGAATGGCTTCTTCACCAGGACACGTGCCCGCTTTGTGATGTGCCGATCCTCGACTATTTGTACTCGAAGATCTGCACATCGCAGAGCGGGCACGTGTCCTGGTGGAAGAGCCATTCCGCAACGCATTCGCGGTGGAACGTGTGCTTGCACCGCAAGTGCACAAAAGATTTGTGCATCTTGTCGGGCGCACATGTTGTACCTAGTCCAGCAATATTCGCGCTCAAGCTCAGCGTCAACGAAGATGACGAGGCGGCTATCAAATCCTATGCGCGAGCGACGCGCATCTTGATGGAGCTCCTCAAACGTAACGGGGCAGGCATCACGCTTCTAATCCTATCAATTGAGTTGATGTGCAAGCTACGTGTCGTACTTGAGTGGTGTATCTATCAACAGTAGTAACGTGCACCAAATGATCATTAGACTTATCGATCGCGTTGCAAGCGCCTCCAGCCTCATTGCTTTTTTGGCCCTATGGCGTCTTTTGCACCCAGCTTGTCAGCGCTCACACGACGGCAGATATCCGTGTCGGTTGCCTCCTTCCAGCGCCACTGAAACAAATTGAAGAGTACAATACCGCGCTCGCGTACAAGCGAGATCGACAACCTGGTGCACATGCGTTGGGGCCTAGCTGCCTTGCGCGTGGGAGCTGAAGCCCCCAATACTGGTACCGGGGACACAAGACAGTAGTTTGATGCAGAAAACACAAATTCATTCTATTCTTTTACGAGGTCTCTGCCTACTCGTCGGCGGCGTCTGCGACGTAGCGATACGTGGGGCGCTCTTTGAGCGTGAAGTGTACCCCAAGACGGAAGCCCTAGCGATAGTACATGGCGTGCCGGTAGATGCACACGCCACAAAAAACCTTCATCTCTACCGGCAAACGCAGGGGCCGCTTCCCGCGTTTGCCGTGGACGATGGAGCCGCCGCCGCGCTCTTCGTGAGCGTCGAGACCGACTTGTTGGCAGCTGCCGACGATGTCCCACGCGCTTCGTCTGCGAGTGTCGCGACGGCTCGGGCTGCGATCCCGGGCGTATGCTAAGCGACCAGCACTTACACAGCTATGGACGTAAAACACAGAGCACACAGAAAGCTGGTGCGCACTATGGCTCTGCAAGCGCTTTCCGCGCCGTTGTACGGTGTGTTTCGCGATGGTGTGGAACAGCTGGCATATCATTTGGGGGTCCCATGATCTACCGCGGTACCGGGTCTGTGAATCGTAGAGCCGCAAGCGTGTACTACCAAGTGGTACATCGATATTAATAGCACAGCGATGGCTTTTGCTTCAAACGTATTATGTCGGACCGCTTTTCGCGCCGTTGTACGGTGTGTTTCCGCGATGGTGTGGAACAGCTGGCATATCATTTGGGGGTCGCATGATCTACCGCGGTACCGGGTCTGTGAATCGTAGAGCCGCAAGCGTGTACTACCAAGTGGTACATCGATATTAATAGCACAGCGATGGCTTTTGCTTCAAACGTATTATGTC